CTTGTCTGATCCCCAGTTGGTGCTGGCAAGTCGTTTGATGAGATTAAGTCTCTTCATAGCCCTCTTCCTAAGGTTGTTAGTGTGTTGTTTCAGGTTGAGCTTGCTGTCAAGTTGTACTCCAAGATACACTGGGTTTGTGTTTGTGCCGCTGAGATTTAACAGTTATAAATCAGGTCGAACTACTTGTAAGGCAACTTTTTCATCACACGAAAACTAATTAGAGAAAATTTGGAAGTGAATCGGCTTCGTCCCCACCATCAACAAGAATTTAACTAAGAACAAAGAGATGGAAAACAAAGGCAACACTTCTCGTTTGAATGGTTCTCAAACTGCCGTGGCTCACCGTGAGTATAGAAAAATCATCACTGTTTAGTTCCCATTGCTTGCTATTTGGTGGTAAAGAACTGGAAGCAACCTAAGACCCATCCAAATATTGGTCCACCCATCGCCACTGGTTTCAGTATCACTCTTTTATACCTTTAAACTAACAATTATACAAATTTATCATCCCTTTATAAATGTAGGTATTCTTATTTTCTTAAAAATGGATAAGTGAATGACTGTCGTTCCCCAACAATACTGACAGTTCAATTCATTTTCACCATACAAGTTTTAACAGTTTAAAAATTAACAAAAAGATAATTCATGGTCTACCACTATAACCATAGCACTGACTATAAACCATACAATGCTATTTTGTTGCTACTTTATCTGCTAGTCCTGATATTATGTTGTTTGTAGAACGGCAGTATTTCTTGATGCAACTATTCATTTCGCTTGAGATACAGTCAGGAAACTGATCGTATTTCCTGTTTTCTCTGTTTTCATCGAACGGTAAGGTCTTTTACGCATCTATAAAGTCTCTGTCAGTACAACAAGTAACTTACTTCGACCATCTCAGCGAAGATAAGACCGAAGGCAGGCTGTATCCCACCAATTATACCACTAGATAAACACCCAATTATGATGTAGTGAAGTTCATTGATATTCATCTTGAAGAGACGAGTAAATGGGGCATCCGGCAAATCTTCATCGTCCTGCCAAGAGAATCAATTATGCGTTAGTTGATAAAGTACAGTTACAGAATAGTCAGACAAAGTTGTGGACTATTAAAAGTATAAACTTACAGGGAACCTCCCCCCTCCCCCGACATACTGATGGACACTCACACTTTAGCATAATATCAAAACGAGAACAAAGTTATGTCGATTATATTATGTAACCTTTATGTTACTGAAAGCTGCATGTCAATTGTACAACTGTACTGCTATTGGAGAAAGACTATGGTGTATTATTTTCATTTAGACTCAATTATTGGAAGCAATGCGTTCTTAATTGCCATGAATGAAATCATTTTCACCTCTACTTGACCCTGTCTGAACAGCTGTGTTAATGTTTGTGGTCAGCTGTCGTAGAGGGTTATTTGGGCAACATGCCTGCTTGATTGCCAGAGCGCGTTAATGTGAATGGGCAAATCACTCGCCATTTTATTAAACCAACGCACGTTATGTATTTGATGGTAACGATAACGATGTCAGTGAAGGAAAAAGTATTGTTGTTACGGTGTAACTGGAGTAAAATAAAAATTTGCCTTCAGAGGAAATGAGAAGGTGCTAAATGTTTATTAGACTGACCAGTGTAAAAGAATGAGATTGCGATAGGATCGATACAGGCGAGACAGTTTTTGTATGCTGTTATTGGAACAGAGCAGGGAAAGGCTAGGCAACAGATTTAGGTAAGAATGTCCTAGTGACCGCAATGGTAACACGCTGTCCACAGCCATGAGCTAGAGTAGAGGAGAGAGATGAGGTGAAGAAAGGTTAGAGAGAGACTGTTCAGCAGATAAATGTCCAGTAAGCAACGAATGCAAAACTGTCGACAATTAGTGGCGACTATAGAGACTGTAGATAGTACAACATGACAGTACACGTGTGTCAGTCTTTATACTATGTGCTCACTGGCAGCAGTGTCATCGTCCATTTGATTTCTGTTGCTGAATGGTTAGTGGGGGACAAAAATGTCAAACATAGGCCTAGGTCAATGGCACAGCGTTTAGATGGGTGGCGACTTGGAAATGGGGGGGGGGGGGGGGGGGGCTGTCCTTAGCCTTGAGCAAGACATAATAATCCCAGCTAAAAAACCTGGCGCTCCGTGGCGACCAGCACAGGCGAGTTTCTAAAATATTTGTGCTAATATCGTGTATTTGATAACTTTGGTATCATTCATGTTATCAAGTATATCAAGTATGCTTATATCTGAGTATTTATATATGGTTACATATGTATGTCATTTTTACTCAAATTTCCCAACAGGAATCAATAAAGTGGAATATAATCCTAGCAAGTTGATTGCAACTTGTCAAACTTGCGTACTGTGATGCCTAACGTTTTAGGCCGTTGTAATATAAAAGACATTTACGGCATATAAAATGATAATCATACCTGCATCTATTTCACAATGGGAAATCTTCATTGTCATTTTACAATGTGCAGCGTAAAAAATATAGCTATCAGTGCAGTGTAACACGTATCACTTTTGTCACATACCACAATACTAACTATATGATGCAAACTGACTGTCTACGATATATTGCCTTCGTGGTTTCATGTTACGATGAGCAGATACTATTTCGAGAAGTTAACTTCACTCCTCACCTCCTCCCTCTCTCTCTTTCTCTCTCTTTCTCTCTCTCTCTCTCTCTCTCTCTCTCTCTCTCTCTCTCTCTCTCTCTCTCCCGCCCCATTTAGGAGATTCCTTTGTGTATATACCTCATATTCATCCGTTTCTTTGGTAGAATCTTTGGCGACAGCACTTGAATCTGCTTTCTGTTTGACTTTGTTTTCCTTCTTCTTCAGGTCATCCAAACTTTGTTCTGATGATGGAAAACCCCTTTTGTGAAAGCAAGGCCACTTTTTTCTTTGGAGTTTAATCAAGAGAAGTACGTTTGGTTTAGCAAACTTAAAAAAAATTATAACTAATTATGGCAATAGTAAGCAAACACTGCATATATAATATGAATAGGACAAGGAAAACATCCACGTCCGTTTTTTGCTTACCTGATATGAAATTGTTCTCTTAAGCAAGAGGGTGATCATCAGATTTTAGTGGAATTTTTCATAAATTTTGGGGCACTGACAGCTTGATGAGGACAAAAGATTGATTGTGCTCTATAATTAGGTAAGAAATAGCAGAAAGTTATAGATGTATATACATTTTCCGTTGTACTCGTAGTGGTCATAATTTTAAAATTAGTTTCCTCTTTTTCCCTGTCTTTTGTCCACCCTAATCATCTTTACCTTCACAATGTAAGTTTTCAACGCCGATTACATGCACCTCAAAATAAAGAGAGAATTTCCGCCAGCGTGACTTTCACAGCTGCAATTATGAGTGTAAAAACTTGACGAAGTCATAGCTTACCATTTTCATCAGGCAGGTCCGTCTGAAAAGGGAATGCACGGAAAAGAGATTGAATAACATTTACTCTGGCAGTACGGTAGTCATTGTGCACACATTGATTCATGATTTGTCGTTTCTGTCCGAAAATGTGTCTCTCTTCTTGTCGTTTTGTGTCTTTACCTTTGTTATTTCCCTGTCTTTCCGTCTATACTCATTGTGCTGTCGATATGCTACTTATTGAGTAATTGTGTTTAATGCATAGATGAAAATTACATTAATTTAGGGTTAGATATGTTATTTTTTCCCCCTGCAGTTTCTGAGGATTGTGTTTTGTACGTTACTTCCTGATTACCAAAATTTATCTGTCAAGGGTCAGATCAGACAGACAGGGACATGCACACAAACAACTAGCAAGGTGGCCAGTAGCCTAAGTCTGCAGGACATTCAAACAGCCATTTAGACGGTCAGGTTGACACAGACGACAAGTTGCTCAATTGGAAGACAATTAAATTCATGAATTGTCGTGGTTGACATATTATGTGTACGTCTTTCGTGTTTTCTCTGTTTTCCTTTTTGTTTTTCCATTTGAAATCGGGTCCTCATGCAAAAATAATATTATTCATAAACGCATAAATTGATCAACAGGGTGAAAATACAAAAAGCAATAATGATCATGGAGTTCAAATTTACAACCCCCAAGGCAAAGAACTATCTAAGATGACTATGAAACAACACATCTTTGTGAGGATGAATACGGTGAGCTATCAAAAGGCAGTGAAGCTATGTAATCATGCTATTTGTTCTTGCGCACCAAGAGTTATGAGTAAGAGTGTCATTTTTATGCTATTATAATCATATGTGTTCTACATTTCCATTAAATCATTTAGGAAGCGGGGAGCTTTGATCCTACGTGTGAGGGCCAACCCAGGCTATGAGAGTAGACAACGTCTCCGCAGACAGATGGAGATACTCGATTTATAGGAATCCCCCCACATGGGAATCATACTCATGTCTTTTGCATAAACGACGAAGCGCCTAACCGCTACACCACAGATGCCCTTTTCTTGGTACCAAGTCAACAGGCTTAAAGCCAAATTAAGAGTATTCGTTCACTCCTTGATACCTGGCTCGTCACCAAGTCATAGTAGATTCCTTGTTTTTCCATCAGTTCCTCGTGGGTCCCCATCTCAACACTTTTTCCTTTATTCAAGCCAATGATGACGTCAGCAGTCCTCACAGTGGACAGGCGATGCGCAATGACGAGAGTTGTTCTTCCTTTTCGAGCCTGGGAATGTGGATGTTGTTCAAGGTACGTACTAACACGATCCACGGGACATATTGATATCAATGTACTCTTTCAATATATCTATTTATGTTGATCAGTAACAAGTGCCTCTAATGCATCATCCATGTGTAATTGGGTGTGTGTGTTCGTTTCTCTGGGACTGTCTATACTCAAGATTTCATTGGAGAGAGAGAGAGAGAGAGAGAGAGAGAGAGAGAGAGAGAGAGAGAGAGAGAGAGAGAGAGAGGGAGAGAGAGAAAGAGAGAGAGTGTGGAGTGAGAGTGGGGAGAGAGTGATAGAGAGAAAGGGGGCCAGAGAGACAGAGAGAGAGAGAGAGAGAGGGTTGGGAAAGGGATGGAGAGAAAGAATCAATATTGGTGCCGTTTAAGCACGGGAGCTTTGTATCACGTTGTTGTTGTTGTTGTTGTTGTTGTTGTTGTTGTTGTTGTTGTTGTTGTTGTTGTTGTTGTTGTTGTTGTTGTTGAAGTTGGCGAAACATTTTTGAAAATTATTTAATGGCGTCTAACGATCTGAGATTTTTTTTTTTTAAAGAACATTGATTTTTAAAGGTTAAATTGGGGATGATAAAACATTAAGCGATAGTTTAACAGTAGTGAAAAAAATGAGGTGATATGTTCGCACTGTTAATATTAAAACATTTATTCGTATCCAATGAGGTCATGATCATGAGGACTGAAAGAGAAGAAGAAACATCGATGATAAATCGGGCCCACAGAATTCTACACTTGTAGAAGCGGAACTCCCTCTTTGCGATCGCTGATTCGCTGTGAGGAATTGAAACTAAAACATGGCGGCCTGTTGAGGGCACCTTTGGCTGCGCCGCACAGCGAGGCTTCGCGTTGCTATGCACGCTGATGCTAGTGGTAGGGCTAGGAAGACACCTTACATCAGTATTTTAAAACTTTCTTCGAAGAGGAAATATAGTGAAATAGTCTAGTACATTTTTATTGACAACAATATGTCATAATGGGCAATGTTACTATGTTTTTGTATTTGTATCGTTGGTTTGTTGTTTTTTTAATGATGGGATGGGATCTAGATCTAGATCTAGACAGATCTAGATCTCTAGATCTACTAAAGATCTTCACAATCACAATACACTTGATAATAACACTAATTATGAACATTAATTCTGTTGGCAAAATATCTAGATATAGTCTTGATTAGTACTAGATCTACGATAAAGGGGACGCTGACAGTAACATGCTCACTACAACAATATTGTCATTAAACTTAAGGCCATCCAAAGCAAGCAAAGAAGAACAATATAAGCCTTTTCTCCAATTTACTAGAAAGAGATAAATAAATTGAGCTTATATTGAGGGAATGTATTATTTCTCACTTTAAGAATTCATCTCTGTGTTTGCATCAGTAGTGTGTACAACAACATGCTTTGTTTAAAGCATGTGCGAGTCTAACAAATACAAGAGATTGGAGAATGTGTCGGTTGCACATAAGATACATAGGCCTATTGTACATGCTGCCAAAAACACACAAATGCAGAAAAGGCCTCAAAATATTGGTTAACACATAAAAGCCAATAATGCAAAACAAAGTAAACAAGAGTGGAACTGGCATATGTTTCGAGAATATATGTTCAAAGTCATTTTCTGTGTGTTGGGAGTGTGATTTCTAATGCATGAATGATAGGCTCATTCAGATGTGATAATGAAGAAACTTATGTCTACAGTCACAACAGAAAGAGTTCCATGGTGAGTGATCACTGGTCAAGGATTTCAAAACTGTGTGCATTTTGAGAAAAATGTATCTCCATACCCTGGATCACATGTCGAGGGGATGGGCTTGTCCCCCTGTAATCCCCGCACACAGTAAACAAACACATATTTTTTAACACGAATAAGAAAAAATAAGTGGTCTCTTGTTACGGATCAAATTAAAGTCCTGTTTCAATTCGATTAATTGATAAAAGTGCGTATCGCAATGCGTAGGCCACCCATGCCCTATTTTCCTATGCTATTTAATAAATACATTCGTCAGACCTGGAATCTTTAATGCCCGCACACAGTAAACAAACACACATTTTTGAACACGTATAAGAAAAAATAAGTGGTGTCTTGTTACGGATCTAATCGAAGTCCTATTACAATTCAATTAATTGATAAAAGCGTGTATCGCAAGGCATCGGCTAACCCAGCACTCTTACGCTATTTTATAAATACATTCGTCAGATCTGGAATCTTTAATCTTTAATTTTTAATCCCGGCACACAGTAAACAAACACACATTCATGAACACATATAAAAAAATAAGTGGTCTCTTGTTACGGATCAAATTGAAGTCTTGTTACAATTCAATAATTGATAATAGCGCGCATTGCAATGCATTGGCTAACTCAGCATTATACACTATTTAATAGTACATTCGTCAGATTTGGAATCTTAAATTATAATCATAATTATATGTGCCCGCGCGTGGGAATTGAAAGTGAAAGGAATTGAAAATGCTTTCAAAAACAATTATGAAAGTAACACATTAATTAAAGTAGGACTACATGTGCTTATAAAGACCCAAAAAAGGTGTATGGATGCGGAAATGAATGTTTCGGATGAAAATAATACGCTATCTCTACTACTGTAGCATGCGGTCAAAAATTTGATGTGCAACTTATTATCAAATATCTAGGCTACTGAACTATCGAATACCTAGATCTAGATTCTCCTACTTTTACACAATGACTTAGATCTATATCAATTCGTATTAACCGATGAGTATTTTTTTCAAACATTTGTACACATCTATAGGTTCTATATTATTCTAGAAATTTCTGTAAAGAAAATTCTTTAATAAATACTAGCCCAATATAAAAAAAAAAATCCCAGTCAATGGTTTCTACAGATTTTTTAAAAGTTTATAGTTGGAGCTAAATCTCTTTTAAAAGCAAGTCCCCCCTTTTTTCTACTTCTGCTGGCGACATAAAGCTAATTATTGAACGCTTGTTTTGAGAACATTAATTAGATCTAGATCTAGTGAAAAAATATGTTCAGTGTAAAACAAATTTCTTGAAACAAGTTTTGCTACTAAAAAATTACGTAGGCCATATATGCGTATGCAAAATGTGTGTGGGAAGCTAGAAGTGCTGTGAACAATCCCATCCGTGTTACGAATTTTTTCACAGTTCTGTAGATCTTATATTTATAAACTCTCTATGTCTGCTTTTTCTGTTGTTGCACCCAAAAACACAACAATTTAAAACCTTAATTCCAATCTCTAGGTTGCACAGTGAATTCTGTAACTCAAAATTACAAACTGGACAGTAAATGTTCCACTTTTCACTCGTTTGTAAAAGCCGCTCTTGCTTTAAAAGCTATAGGGTTACTTCCAAAAACGATAAATCGTGCCCTCAAAACGCCATTGTTTTCGGTCTTCAATTCCTCACAGGTCACGTGGTACAGTTCCCGTTCTATAAGTGTAGAATTCTGTGATCGGGCCTCTCATTTGCCCAAACCAGCCACCACTGACCTTATCAAGAGCTTCCTGTACAATGGATTCGCTCTCCAAATCAAGGGCTGATGTTGCCTCGTCCAACAGAAGGATCTTGGGATTGCTGACAAGCGCCCGGGCGATGGCTATACGTTGTTTTTGACCACCACTCAGTTGAGCTCCCCGCTCGCCCACCATCGTATCAAATTTCTGAAAATTTTACAATTCAAACGGTCATATATAAATAGGTTTCGGGGAGGCCGCTGCTATTTGGACTCGGGTCTGAATAACCTCCTGAGACTATTCTGACTTAAACGCCAATGAGCAATCACCGGGTGTACCGGATGTGAGGCGGACAGGCAATTCGACCTTGGCCTTCCTTGGTTTCTACGATCTGGCCTAAATTTTCTATTCAAACTTTTAAAAAGTATTAGTGACGTCAAAAGGGAAAAACAGTTGCCAAATCTGAAATACTACACAACAAAAGCAAATAGGAAAACGGCAAGAATTGAAAATAAAAGTTTCAGACCAAAGGAGGATTATACCTATCAATACGAAATCTAAGCCCGCTTTATTTGACGAGAAAGACAAAGTCATTGATAAATTGGAAGTCCAGTTAGGAATTAAGAAGAGAAAAGTTAAAACCCTTCGAAAGGGAACAAAAGTCAGTCATTCAAAGTGAAAGAGGTTTAAAGGAAAAGCTTCCCTAACAACAGCATACTTTACATGATGTTCAAATAGAATCAGATCAGAACAAAACAGTACATATTCTGATAGTGTTAGACAAGCAACAATCCTTCTATAGTCTGAAGCAGTGGTATCAACTTAAAACTTTGGTAAAGTCAGTAAAATTGTCATTACTTGGCGACAAATAAAATGCAAATTAAATCTAAAACAATATTAAAATGACAGCAGAAGAGTTAATTTGGAAAATCAGTACGTCATGCTGGAATCGATTTGAGGAACATCAGTTTCAACAAGCTTCACAAAACCTCTTGGGTGGCTGAGTAGTAGAGCGCAATCCAACGAAATGGTAATGGTACCAGCTTAAACAGCTTTCGCATTTGACCATCATCCATTTCCTTGCAATCACAAAACTCAGGCAGATCTTTCTCCTTCCCGGTAGAAATGCGCTCTTACAGTGCCTCCCATGCCTCCTCATCAAAAAGATCTTCTACTATCAACATCTTTACAAATACACATAACGAATGTATCTTTTCTGGGGTCTTCAAATCGGATATCTTAAACGGGGCACGAGCAGAATCCACAAGACAACATGCCAGAATCAGGTTCTTTTTCTTTTCTTGTTATTTAGCAAGTCAGTCGGCGTTTGTCATTTTCATTTCCTGTTTCGTTTAGTGAAAGTTTGTTTTTGTTTGTCTGAAAATTTGTCTGGGTCAAACTGATATCGGCAAAACGGAATTTCTTCTGAACTCTTCTTCTACGAGTTCCACCTTCTTCAAAATCACCTTAATCCACCGACTCCAATTCTGCCGGTCTGGTTTCCCTCTCATCTGCCCGCCTTGTGCCCCCCCCCCCCCAACAGCTCATAATGTTTCTCCTGCTCCTTTTGCCCTCCCTGCGTCCCCCATAACAACTTCTGTGTTTCTCCCGCTCCTTCTGTCTTCCTTCTTTCCTCCTCCTCTGTCATTCTCCTTCCCCCACTTCTGTCCGTCCTCCTTCCTCCTCTCCTGTAGCTTCTCTTTCACCCTTTGTATCCCCTTCCAATGAAGCCGCTACCTCTCCATCTTCAGCCCCTGCCACAGCTCGTCCTATTTCTCAAACTCTTTCAGGCTTTGGTTGAATTCGACGAAAGACGAAAATCGATCGCCATTGCTGAATTTAATGAAACCATTTGTCTTTGGCAGAGTAAGTCTGACTACTTCGCTTCTGACACATCCGGTGAATGCGCACGCGCACGCGCATTGGAGTTTGAGTCCGAAAAGCCACCGGAGGCTATTCGGACTGGAGTCCTAATAGCCACTTTATTCGAAAGGAAAATTTAATGAAGAAACTGCACGTTTGACAAAAGTCAGTGAATATAACAAATGTCTTGCGCGGTTAGATTGAGGAAAGAGTCAAATTATATTCAAGCCAAGGACTACTATACTCAAGCCCATGTTATTTCCGAGTCTGACAGAACATTCACCAATTGAGGACTCGCATTCTACTCATTCGACAACACTTAAAGACAAACAGATATACTATTTGGGGACACTTTAAAAAGACACTTTGCTATTCATATTAAACTGTATTTTCTTTTTCAGGAACCTAAATCCACCTTCTGATTTGTGTATGATGGCTCATTATTTGCTCCATCCTAGCCATTGGATTATTGCAGATCTGACATAATGTGTCTTTATCTAACTTACTCCAAACTTAGGATTAATTCTCCGTCTCTTTACTATTACGAGCCAGTGATTGAGTTTATCTGAAATAAGTCCATTTTCATTCTTCCTAGAAAATAAAATCTTGGAACAACCTTGTTACCTGCGGAAGTGCATTGATAAAGGAGAAAGCGTTGGCTTCCTTGGACGCGCGTATAACATCTTCCATTGTAGCGTTTTCCATGCCATAGCGAATGTTCTCTCCGATGCTCTTGTCAAAGAGTACTGGTTCCTGGCTGACGATACCGATGTGTCGACGTAGCCAATTCACGTTCAGGTCTTTTAGATCGTGATCGTCGAGGAAGACCTGGGAACAGTCAGAAATTCACATCACCTTCCTGGACTCTTATTGTGTTTTCATTTGTTTTTCTAGAAACGGGTGACTGTTGAACATTTTGATTACATTTTTACTGACTTTATGGATTAAATAGCAGTTACTTAAATCACGTAGTTTCCATAAGGAAAATAGCTCGGAGGGTGATTTGGAGAGACGTTCATCACGATCGTCTTCAAGTAATCCAAATGGGTTCGCCGCGAGCAGAATCGGTACATTGAGCTATAAACGTTGACGGAAATAGCCGTCTCAACGCTACAAATCTTGCAAAACTGGACAGTTAATACGTGCTATTCACTTCACCTGTCCACGCAGCGGGTCGTAGAAGCGGAGCAGCAGCTGCACACACGTGCTTTTCCCACAACCACTCGAGCCGATCAACGCTACTGTTTGACCAGGCTTGGCTTCTATGGTCAGTCCGTCCAGCACCTGAAGAAGACCGAATCAATAAATCAAAATCAGTACATGAGTTCCTATTTAACACCGTCAATCTGTCTGTCTGTCTGTCTGTCTATCTGTCTGTCTGTCTGTCTGTCTGCCTCTCTTTCTCCCTCCCTCGACTCTCTCTCTCTCTCTCTCTCTCTCTCTCTCTCTCTCTCTCTCTCTCTCTCTCTCTCTCTCTCTCTCTCTCTTTCTCTTCCTTTCTCTGTCTATTTGTCTATCGATCTACTTCTTTCTATCTTTCTCTCACCCTGTTTATCTCTTTCTGTGTTCCATTTCTCTCGATTTCTCCTTTGTCTATTTATTTTGCCTAGCAGTATGGAAACCCTTTCGTGTTGTAAATGGGAAAGATGAACCTGGGGTTCATCTCGAATTTTTTCATTTCTAATTCTTGCGTTGCATCTCAATTTCGATTCTTTACTCACCGTAACGTCGGGCCTCGCAGGATACGAGAAGTGAACGTTTTTGAATCGTATTCTGCCGGCTAAAGTTGCGGGTTTCTCCCCTGTGGGTGAGCTGCTGTCTATTTCTGATACCTATGAAAGGAAAGAAAATGGTAAATGTTTACTTTTCTGGATTTTTTCCACATTGCTCTTACAACGCTATAACTAAAACTATTTTAAAAAATTAAGATCACGGATTTGAGCACGGACCATGAATGCTGAGTGTTATCTTAACACTATACATTTTTTGCTGATCAAACTTATTGTATCACTTCTTTAAATTGCTTTAATTGCCTTCAGTTGCCATCTAAATAGTTTTTAATGGGTTTTTTTTTTAAATTTCACTTTTGGGCTATTATTAGTGACTAACAGGCAGATAACGCATGAATTTTCCTTAGAGACTTCACACTGACAGAATTTCACAATGTGAATATCAAACCTACTGTATTGACGTCACAGTGTTTATGAAAAGCTTGTTCCCACTTCTAAAGGCGTAGAAGAGATTGTAATAGAATCGAGGCACAATATGACCCCGTTAAAGATTGTATATTAAAATAAAACTATTCTTGGAAGGAGTGGGGACATTTTGAACTCTGCAAACATTCGAACCCCGAATACAAAACATGTAGGGTAGTTTTTGTAATTCGAGGAGAATGACCTTACATAGCGCAAGTTTCGGTAAACGTCTAGTTGATGCCTCCAGTCAGAGCTCACTAGACCTACTACGTTCCTTTCCACTCTCTATGGAGCCAACATGGAGGTAGCCGTGACGCCAAGCCGGAAAGAGGGTTTGTGAATGGATATGTGTCACGACACGGTGGAGTCCGGCGATTGTCAATTGTAGGGCGTGAGGAGTTTTGGTATTATCTTAAAGCTTGTTTATGTTTCTTCCTTTTGATGAAAAAATACCATCTTTCTCGAACAGTAGTCGAGAGATCTGTGATTTAAGTAGCTGTGGATCGCCTGGTGTCAGAGTCAAAATTAGAGAGAAAAGTTTAGATACTTTCAAAGCTTCAATGTCCTTTGAAAATCCCAATTTATATTCATGGAGACTTTTTATGAACGTATTATGAGATTTGAAATGGTAATTGAAGTCGTAGAGCCGCCCTCCCTCCCCCTCACCTCACCACCAAAATTAATAGAGAATCGGTAAAAATTTCCCAGAGGGTAGAAAATGTCACTTTTGTTGATTTCATTATTGCAATGAGCGCCCAAGTCCCCACGCTGTCACATACAGGGCGATAAAACAAAACAACAACCAACAACCACAAACAAAACTGTACAACAAACTGTCAATATATTCCTCCACAACGACGTTTTGCGTTCCAAATTTGTACACAACATTTGGAAGTCAAAAGGAATTTGTCTGATGTTATTTTAGATAAATCCACCGAATAGTTTTGCTCTACATAGCGCGTAAAAAACAGCCCATTTTCAGCTATGTCCCCATTTTTTGTAGAAACACGTACGAGTTTGCATTAGGCCTACCACAACGACCAATTCAGGTCAAACACACACCGGTTACATCCCTTTAAAAGTAACCAGGGTGCAGAATTCAGTAGATGAATCTCATAAAGCGTCTGTCAGTAGACTATGGCTGTAGCAATGACTTTCCTGCATCTCAATGGTCCGCATTCTCAAGGCATATCTTCATCTACGACTGTACCATTTTCCCGTTCCCGAAGCTATCAGAGGATAGCAATATGTTCATGATTTCTCAATCGTTTGAAAAGTGTGAACATATTCACCTTGCAGGTTATATCAACTCCACAAATGCTGTCTACTCGGGCAAACTCACCCCCTCCCCTCTATTGTCTCTAGAAACAGCTCCATACTGTAAGTTGTACTGTGTGTGTGGCTTTAAGTATTCATGGTTGAGCGGATCCTTGCGTTTGGCCACCACTGGACATTACGAAAGACACGTTCAAATGTGTTATGTCCAAAGGAGGACATAATACAGACCTTTGGTTCTCGGAATTACAGAATCTAAAAAAATTTTTTTTTAAACTTTGTAGAAGATGCTATTTATGACAGCGGTGAGATCCCTGAAGATATGATGAAGTCAGTTTTTATAGCTTTACCTAAAACACCAGGTGCCAATGAATGTGGTATGCATAGAACAATTAGCCTTATGAGTCATTTAAAAAAATATTGCTGCGAGTTATAATGGGAAGATTGAGAAAAAGTGTAAGACCAGAGATATCTAAAACGCAATTGGACTTTGTTCCTGACAAGGGCACCAGAAATGCTATTTAACAATGTTACTGGAAAGATGTATTGAAGAACAGAAAGATCTGTATTTATGCTTCATAGATTATACAAAGGAGTTCGATAAAATTAGACATGATAAGCTATTTAAAACACTGGAAAAGCTAGACATAGATGGAAAAGATCTAAGAATTATCAGAAATTTGTACTGGAACCAAAACGCTGCTGTTCGAATTAATGAAGAATACAGTGAATATATGACAATTAGGCGAGGAGTGAGGCAAGGATGTGTGATGTCACCAGACCTCTTTAACATGTACCGTGAAACAATCCTTAGAAACATAGAAGAATGCCCAGGCCTCAAAGTAAATGGAGAAAATATTAATAACATCAGGTATGCAGATGACACAGTTTTTATAGCAGACATCGAAAAGGATCCTCTATTGCTTCTAGATACTGTTGCAACAGAAAGTGAACGTAAAGGATTATTGTTGAATGTAAAGAAAACAGAATGCATGGTAATATCCAAAAAAGCAGCAAATCCTAGTTGTAATCTCTTTAGCAAATGTGAAATGATCAAACAGGTCCAACAGTTTAAATATCTAGGATATATGATAACATCTGATGCCAAATGTTCCACAGAAATAAAAAGGAGAACTACAATGGCTAACTCTAGTTTCAATAAAATAACCCCAATCCTGAAAAACAGAAACATCTCTATGAACACCAAAATGAAAGCCCTGAAATGCTATGTTTGGTCAACCCTTCTATATGGCTGCGAATGCTGGACAATCACTAAAGACAGTGAAAATAAAACATAAGCAACAGCAATGTGGTTTCTTAGGAGACTGCTAAGAGTACCGTGGAAAGAAAAGAAAACAAATGAGGTAGTGCTTGATAAAGCCTACGTGGGATGTTCAATCTTAAAAACAATCAGGAAACGAAAAATGCAGTTTTTGAGACACCTGAATAGACATAAGGGTATTGAACAACTAGCTCTCACTGGCGAAATTGAGGACAAGCGAGGCAGGAGTAGGCCCAGAACAGCATACTTAGGGAACCTGAACAAATGGGTAACAGGGAAAGATCAGGGAAACATGGCTTTTTTTAGAGCATCCGAGCAAAGGAATGAATGGAAAACCATGATTGCCGATGTCTGTCGCAGATCTGGCACTGGATGACAATGAGGAGAAAAGAAATATTGTTTAAAGGTTGCAATGATGGAAAGATCAGATTAATAAAATAGAATGAAATAAAAAGAAAAAAAAACCCAATCATTTTATGGCTTTCCTTACAAGATCTCCCAAATTGGTGCATTTTGCATTATATGTGTTTTATTTTTATAAAAGCTACTTCTGTTTTCAAAATAAGTTTATTCTTTGTGAATTTCCTGTCAAACAAATTAATTTGGAATGGATTATATCTGTTCCAAATTACCATATTCTTGTACAAATTTTGTGCAAGATATTTAGTAAAAAGGTTGTACTGTTTTTTTGTTTTTTGGATCTTGACTCCTTGTAGAAGCGGGTTGAAGTTTACCCAGATTGCTTACCCTGTCAATGACTTCATACACCTTGGCAGCAGCTCCGCGTGCACTTGCCACATGCTGTATATTGTCCAACGCTTTCCCCAAATGCATGCTGCCCAAAAGGACGCTAACCATCACCTAAAGAAATAGTGCGTTTATTTTTTATACAGAATATATAATTGAAAGAAAGCAATATATCGTAAGATGAGATAGCATACATTTATGGTGCTTGTAAGTAAATAAGTAAGTAAGTAAGTAAGTAAGTAAGTAAGCAAGCAAATAAGTAAATATGTAAGTAAGTCAGTAAGTAAGTAAGTAAGTAAGTAAGTAAGTAAGTAAGTAAGTAAGTAAGTAAGTAAGTAAGTAAGTAAGTAAGTAAGTAAGTAAGTAAGTAAGC